GTTAATGTAACACTTTTGCTTTCGGCCGCACTAAAAGGGTTCACGAAAAGACTTTTTCCTTTTTTATGTAAAACGTCACGGAACCTCCCCCGCCTAACTTCATTAACTTTTAGGTTACGCCATGAAAGGAGAAAATAAAAATACGGTGGTGGGGGGGACGCATCGAGAAAATAGAGCTACGGTAGAAATTAATAAAGGGGGCGAAAAAGTTATTATTCCCGATAGATAAATTATTATTATATAATAGTTTGTATTTGTGTATTTTTGTATTTTTGTTCGTATCGTTTTAGCAAATGCTTTGAACAAACAACAAATATAGTACACGTATAGCGATAGATAAGCCGTGCAAATGTAAATAGCACACCTTAAATTCAGGAGGAAAAAAAGAAAAGACGCGTTGAATTGTAGTCGATAAGCCGCAGAGACGCCAAATTTAATCAGACAATATCGAAAGTTCGTGCGAGCTGATTAAAAGTAGGTGTAGCGCCGCTTTTGTTACACAACCAGTGGAAAACCGTCCGATAAATCGATTCCTAAAAATTGGTAGTAGTTATTATTATTATTATTGTTACTTATTTCCGTTCCGAGTGCGAGATGCGCTATATATAGACAGACGTTCCTCGTCGGCTGCCGGTCGTCCTTTTTTGAGGAATTCATTCATGATTCTGAAATGCACAGGCGATGCGATGCGATGCCAGAAGATGCACCGCAGAGCAACAACGCAACAAAAAAGGACGAGTCCTCTCGGCATGGACAAAAATAGAACGGAAATAACTAGGCAAAATTATTATGATTTAACCTCGTTTTAATCTATGCGAAACCTGAAATTACGTGGAAATTCGCAAAATTAAAATGCACCGCGAATGCTCCGCAACTTGGGTGCAAAATGCTTCTTTTGTTCTTCCATACGCGGGGCGAAAAAATCTAATTATATATCGTGTTTCTTCGAAAACGGGTTACGGTTTCCTCTACTTTTTTTTTGTCTTTGCTGCTGCTGCTGTTGTCTTTATTCTCTCTCTCTCTCTCTCTCTTTCTCTCCCTACGATCTCCACTTCTTTCTTCTGGCTCGCAATTTAGTTACATGTTACACTAACAGTAGCTAGTTTGTTTATTTCGGTTTGTTTCCAGATAATGAGTAGAAATAAACGCCTTATTCCTGTACCACTGCTGCGTACAAAAAAAAGATACAACAATCGAAAGCAAACAGCGCTCTGTCAATCACGTTAACACGCGATTGTTTTACCTCGACGAACGAAAGGAGAAAAACAAAGGAGGAAACGAAAACGAACACAAAAAACGGGACGAGAGAAAACAGAAGGAAGAACAAGAAAAAGAAACGAGATGCAGCTCGGAAAAAGTTCTAAGAAAAATAGCTCTTGTTATTCTTCATTTTAATAACTTCAGATCGTTTCCTCTTCACGTTTCCTTTTGAAATATTAAATTTTAAAAAGAAAAAGTTAATATTTCGATTCATTAAAATATTAACTATCATTGATTGATGATTTTGATTGTATTCATAATGTAATCTAAGTATGTGCATATTTATGTTTGCTTCGTATATAGTTTCAACACTTGTTAGTAATAGTGACATGACAATCTCGAATTGAATCTATTGGATTATGTAATATAGAATTCAAGATCTAATTAATCAAGTGGAACAGTATTGGTTGACTATAAGAAAATATGACAACTAAAATAATTTGAATGCAATTCTCGGCAATTCAAGAGATTCGTTTATTATGTATAATAAAGATAATGTGTATGTGTGTGTTCGTTAATAATTGGAGTCCAGGTAAAATATAAAAAGGAACGAGAAAAAGAAAGAAGGATCGTGACCATGGTCGGATCGCATAATGAGTGTACAGAGTACAGTGGTCAATTATGGAGACGTGAATAATAGTAGCAAATTAAAGTTATGCAGATAACGAAGAGGAGCTGGCCGACCAGGGCCGTATGTATGTGTGAGTGTGTGAGTGTGTGCGCAGTGTGTTTGTGTGTGTGTGTGTGTGTGTGTTAATGAAGGAAGGTTTCATTAGTCGATGGGATCTTAAGTTGGCGCTATGCGGCCGCTTTGTAAATTCATAGGATTTCAATCGAGAGCATGTTCTTTCAGGACGATTGTATCTCTTGATATTTATTCGGTAGTTATATACTGGTCGGTATCTGGATCTGTTTTGCTGCAAGCTACGCGCTATCTCTATTACCGCCTACCAACTTGATTATTTTACATTTACACGCATTTCAGGATATTTTCCTTCTACTGCTTCTTCTGCCTCCGCCTGCCTCTTATTCGTTTATTTTTACGTACGCTTCTTACTGCTGCTGCTGCTGCGATTGTTGTTCAAAAGATAATTGCAACTTCATTCTCAAATCTTGGAATACGTGTGTGTGTGTGTGTGTGGCTGAGTGTGAAAGGGACGAGGAATAACATCGGAAGGCCCCATTTCATAGAATATAAAAAATTCATAAGATTTTATTGAGAGTGGACCAGAAACATTAGAAATGATGGTCTCGAGGGGCGAACAGCCGGATAAAATATTCTTTGTTTGTCCGGGAACGGTCTCCTCTTTTATATATATAGTTTGTTTTTTTTTGGTTAGGTCTGAGTTATACGGAACGGGGGAAATAGAAATTTATGATATTCGATATGTGATTGGTTTTTGGTTGTATTCCATCACGTATATGGATGTGTATTTGAGGAGTATTGTGGTGCATGTAGGAAAGTGTGTAGAATTCATCACAGAAATGAACATCAGTCGTTTGATGTGAAAGGTCAGACATTAATTCATAATGAACGAGTCTCCTAGCTCGCCACTTATATTTCCTTAATCCCTGAGAGCACAAACAGACCAGCGTCCGTATATAGCATGATGAAAACCTAATGGTTATATCTCTTTATGTCCGAGATCAAAGGGCACACAGTTCGTCCTTTTTTGAACTCGTCATATCTAAGGCCTGGGTATTGGTTTGTGCGGGTCCGGTCCTAATTAGTTCACTCTTGTTGATGCAAGGATGCATCGGGCGAGATGATGTGCACTCTCTCCGCATCTTCTTTTTTTTTTTCACTCATCTCAACCCAACTACGATCTTTTTAGATTTTTAAATTTGTGCATTTCCCGGCAAGTGCTGGAGGTCGAATTTTACCCGAAGGATTTCCTCTCTCGCGTTTTCTCCGTTGCATGCGCCCATTTCACCCAAGACGCTCGCTTTTGTCCTGATCGATGTCCTCCGTCCGACTGGTTCTCCGGTTTGTGAGATAATTTAATACAAACTCATTTAAATCCAACAAAAATGCACGGCCGAGACATGTAAGTCTTAAATTACAGCACAATTGCAGGAGATTTGCGAATACATCTGCATAACTTAGCATCTGATCACTGATATCATTGTCGCGCAGTTAAAGTGCCTCACATATATGTATATATATATATTTCTCGGTTGTTGTTGTTGTAGTTTTTGTTTCTGTTTGTTTGTTTGTTGCATACACGAAGAATACACATTATACTTTTATGCAATTATTGAGGTTGTTCCTTTTGGTAGACGAGAGAGCTGCGTGATAAATATTAATTGCGGATTTAATGTGTGATCTTTTGGGTCCGTTGTAAGATGTTCTCGTTATATCTATATATATATATATAGATATATACAAAAACAGCGTTCTCAATCTCCATTCATTTCCGACCGCAATCCATTACGCATCGACTGACAGATCCGACACATTTCGACGAACCGTTCAAAAAGCAATTTGTTTCGGATACCGAGGAACTACAAAAACTTGCGCAGTTATTTTCAGAAAGTGTTTAAACATTCATTCTTGTAATCTAAAATATAACCCCTTTCGTAAGCGATTGGGGTGTGCCGTGCATTCGCTCGCTTCTAACCACGAGCAACGGACACATACACACATGCACACACACACACCGTAACATATTGAAATATTGGATTTTAGTGTTCGGTATGAATTTAGAAATTTCAATTTCAATAATGGCAAGAGGGAGTTCGGCCCCGAGTTTACATATGTTTGTAGCCGAACGGAGAGTTATGCGGTGGATTGTTAGAACAAAACGGTGTAAAACAACTCTGAATTGGTCTCCGGAGGCTCGTAGAGAAGGCTGGCAGGAGCAAGGAGCAGGAGCAGGAGCGGGAGGAATGTATCACGAGGATGAGCGAGAAAGGTTGGAGGTTCTTTTTACCAGAAAATACGAGTGTTTCGGGAGCGCGGCTCGCTGGGAAATGATGCACATAGGGATGGCAATTTTTAAATAATTGACTGGAGTCCGGTTTGGAAAATGAATTACAGTTTGATCCCTCTATAATGTAGCCCATCTTACACTTATGTAAGATGCGGGAACGAGGCCGGATCGTAATATTGCCGTGTCAAATTCCTGCTCTGGTTTATGCGTCATACTTTTTATATATATATACACACACACACACACATATTTAATATATAGTTAGAGAGTGCATAAATGAATAACCCATCATTTTATGATGGATGAAAGAAAAAAAAAAGAGAAGAAAAAGAAACAGCATAATAATAATAATAATAAAAGCCCACTCCTTTAATCCGGTTCAATTAAAAGATGGTAATTAAAAATACATTCCATTATAACACAATTATCGAAACGTAATAACAAGGACGATGCCTCCGACTTTTAAAGTACAGTGTAAAGGAAATAATCCCAAAGGTAATATACGGTAAGATCTCAGACGACCACACGGGATAAATACAGAGACGACGTTTTTATTGAACTACTTTATTGGAGATGTAATCGGAATTCAAGCATCAAGCTCGGAATATATTTGTAAATTTATAAATAAGTAAAGTAAAATAAAATAAATACATACAAAAAAAAATGTGAACGAAACAAGAAAATATATAGAGAAGCAGCGAGAAAGGAAAACACAGACGTAAGAAAGTACATACAAAGAGGGTAAATAAATGTATTACCAAAAAATAAAATAAAATAAAAGCTTATAAAAATATATGAGAGACTTACCGAGACGTCATTGCATCGAAGACGTTACGGAAAAATGTCACTCCCCACTTCTGCAACAAACGTGAAACATTGAATGAAAACTGAAGACAAATTTGTTGAGACATTCGCTCGTTACCATAATAGAAATTATTATTACAGACTGCACTCTTTCTTAAATCATACTGAAAACAGATAAGATACGCCATGCGACTTTAAATAAATCCACTGTAAAAATTCAAGTACATAACTAAATAAGCACAAACATAGGTTGGGTTTTAATAAATTGTTAATACTGATAATAATAATATCAACAACGACGCTACCAAACGTCGCCACATGCATTGCATTATGTAGTAACACATACATACATACATACACACATACACACATACGTACACTAGTACAAATACACTCGAGCTGTGCCGTAAGAGGGAAGGGGGATATAGGTGAATAGATAAAGGGAGAGAAAAAGATAATTGCCATTTTCCTGTATATTTCCGATATTCGTATACTCTTTTTCGCAATCACTTTTTTCGCGCATGCCGATGCCGAGACGCGTTTTTTATTTTCTATTTTTAGTGATCGAAAGAATATTGAGCTTTGCAGTTTTTTTCGTGATTGTTTGCTGATGAGATCAAAATTAAATATCCTTTTCTATGTCGGAAATGAGATCGTGCAGAGACAGACGGTGCAGAGCAGGTAACATACTCGAAACCATCGATGTACAAACACTTGTAGATTCATCCACTGAACTGAAGTCACCATAGACTATTTCCCACCGAAAACCTAAGCTCATTTGTACATTCATTATTTGCCATGTTTGCACACCGTCCTCAGTTGTAAGTACGACATGTATTTTCAATTTACATCTTCCATCCAGTTGCTTCGGAAGTTCATTGGACAATTGCGCGTGCAAAAAGGGGAGAATTGCGTGTTTATACGGTGGTACTATTATTAAATATCGAAAGGGAGCGTCGGTAATTGTTTTTGAAACAATTAGGAAATAATCTGTGCAGGGGAGGATTGCATATTGCGGGGGGTCGATCTTGGCAGGAAGAAGGTGTTTTCCTTTCTGATTCCAGAGACGTACGTACGTGTAGCAGCAGCAACGTGTGGGAAAAAGAGGGAGAGAACCAACCGGAGAGGATGTAGTGTAATAATTTAAAGTTGTGCTTATTCCTCTTTCCGTACTTGAACTAGATTTATGTTCGCGTCAATATCAATTTGTGGAAAACAGTGGGGCTCATTTTGCTTGAGACTATACAATCCACTCGTCGCCATGCGGCTGCTGCAGAGTATGCTCGGACTCTCATTAAGCGATCACAATAACTATCTTTGTTGTCTCACCGAGAGCGTACAATAAACGCGCAATGAATTTTACAACACCAACCTCTTGTGCTTCTATTGTGGCTGGAACAGCCTTTGATAAAAGATTTTTGTACTTTATATTTTTATCCCTATATTCTTCGGTGGAAAACTCCAGTGCACTTGCCCTTATAAAACATAATATAAAAACGCACTTACTATCTTATTTTATTATCTTCAGAAAAAAATAAAAGTTACCTAATATGACTAATATGTATAGAAAATGCAAATAAACTAAATAATCTGTGATCATTGGAATAGAGAGAGAGAGGAGAAAAATGAAACCATAAAAAGCTTTCGATTCTTACAAAGTCTTGACTCCTGTATCTGCTTGTATATGTATATAATCGATAGATACAAATTGCATAAACCAGCTTACATCGTGACCAAGCCATAATGTAAAAGCTACCACATTTTCAATTAAACATGGGCATATCACGATGGAAGTTTGTTTGAACTAATTTGAAACCATTACTTTCAAGTACTGAAAGTACATTACCGATTTCTAATACTACACAATTCATATTAATCATGATTAATGAGAATGATTAATTTAAAATCATTTTTTAAACATATTTTTGAGTAATAATTCAATAATATTGATAAACACATCATATGTAAATACTATTTGAGCTATAATTACGTAATTGTAATATTATTTTATATGAAATTTTTACTACTTGAATATCAGGTAAGCAATGCGTGTTGCGTATATCACTTGGATGAGTGCAACCTGCATCCTTCTGTGAAAATAAATTCTCGATTTTAAGTCCTTTACAATTACACAGTAAACATTCAACAATGCTATTATATATCAAGTAAACAATCTGACAATTTTATTGAAACAGTTAAATGATCTAATTTATAGAATACATCGAATATCTATGAACTTAAGCGTGAAATTCCCGTACGTTTTTGAACAACCATGCATATATATATAATATTTTCAGCAATAAATTAATCTTTGCAGTAAAGTCTGTTTCAATAAATCGTATGCCATGGATCGTTCAAAGCTGCTTAAATCGTGATCGAGCCATAACGTTAAAGCTACCACATTTTCAATTGAAAATGCACATATCACGATTTAAGTGCATTTGAACTAATTCGTGTCAATTACTTTGATTCGTTGAAAGCACTTTTCTTTACGCGTTCTACCATTCAAAATGGAAGTCATTTTGCACAATTTCTTCTCGAACTTGTTATAAAATATCATCATCATCATCATTATTATAACTGTATTAAGAATCAGCTATTACTTATGGTATTTGGATTGTGATTTATTAATTTACGAGTAAAATGAAATTTTTTGAAAGCGGAATTGCATTAGAACAGAATTTCTATAATTTTCAATTCTGTAAAATCTAATACATTTTCGTTATATTCAAAGTTTAAGATTTTATGAGCAAGTATCTTAAGTGTTAACTCAATTTAATGTTGATTTCAATAGAAGTTCAATTTCAAAGAGAAGAGGAACTACGTATTACGTTATTGATCCTCGTTCTAAAGACTTCATCAGCATATTGGTATTGTGAGTAGATGGAGATAGCCGCTATTGTATGGCGGAAAGTGGGGTTGTTGCAGAATCCGGTTCGGGTTAAAGGGTAGTTTTAACATCTCTTTTAAAGCCGTCCCTTTACGAAGGTCATACATCTCAATGGATATTTGAAATTAGTTAGTTGAACGGTTCAGTTAGATGTGAGAACTATCGAAAATAGTTTTAGTTATGACTAATAATATAATAAATATAAATGTGTACTTTAAGAAAGTAAATATTATCAAGTTTCCTGTTATTTGGCATAATTTACGATCTGAGTCAGAACCTCTGACGCAGACATTAAGTTGAAAACAGTGGAGTAACTTGAAGGAAATGCTTTGTGCGTTTGTTTCGAAATATGGTAATGGTTTACAAATTGTTTCAATTTCGTGGAATTGAAAGTATTGTAAACAAAAAAGAGAGCAAGAGTGATGCAGAAAATCGTTACGAATGGACCAAGTGTATATGATATAAACTCGAGATGACGGCGTGCAATTTGTATGTGGTGTGCAGTTGCAGAAAAGAAAACGAAAGGAAGATGACATACGTGTGTTCGAGAGGCGGATAATCGAAGCGCACCAACTCATTTTTACAAAGATCCAATTAAATATGGTTACCTTCCAGCGCGAGGCTAATAAATAAATTAAAAAAAAGCTCGCTCAGCTTATTTAGTTCATTGACATACGATTATTATAGAAAGTCAAACCTTTGAAAAACGATGCAATCGAATGATGGATTTCAAACAAAACCGAAAACAACATATTTCCAGTTCGATCATATTTTTTCAGTTGTATGTAGTTATATAAAACATTTGTTTTATTAAAAAAAAAAGCAATGAAAAACCAAATCGAAAACCGTTTTTGTTTAAAGTCGTTTTTTTCTACAAACCATACAATAATAGGTTAAATGATATCAATAACCACTTGAATTAATTTCAGTGAAAACGAAGCATTTAACAGCAGCCTATGTTGCATGCTATTTATATATTCATTTTTTTTTGTCGCTACTCTCTGGTCTCTGGTTCTGTGAGGTAATGACATCGCCATCCAAATAACCGGACGCATAAAAGGCTGTTTGACAATTTTATTAATTTAAATTCAACCGTTTGCGCATTACTCTCCACGTCGAATTTGCAACTGCAAACGACTGTGTCGAAGTTCATAAAACCAAAATAAATAAAAAAAAAAAAAAATGAAGCATGCCTCGTATCAAAAGCGCCGTGTACTTTTTTTAACCAACCGTTAATTATTTACATTTACGTATCCAACGTTTGAACATTTATTTTTCCTCTTTCTCTCTTTTGATACATTATCCACTCGTGTGCTTCTCTCGTTCCCTATGTTAATGCTATTATTACGGATGCTGCAAAACACAATTGACGCTTCGATGGAATTTAATCAACTTTTATGGATTCGGATTATTATTACGGACGCGGTTCTTGATGCTTCTTCCTTTTTGATTTTTTATAATTCTCAGATTTAATACACGTTTAACAATACAATTAATATGGCAAAAAGGTGGATGACGAAGATAGAGAAAGAGAGAGAGCAAAAAGGTTTTTATGATTTTCCGTCGAGAGAAGTACCATAAAATGTAAAAATAAAAACTTCAACCAGAACCAATTAAATCCCTCATTTTATTACGCATTTGTCTCAATATCATTTTATGCATTCCGTAATGAATCCAATAATTAGGCTCAAGACGTTTATTATATGCCAGAATTAATACAGTTCTTTTTTTTGTTGTTATAAATTTTAAATAATAATACGTTCTTCGTTGATCATTTCTAAGATAATTTATTCTTATTGTGATTTGAACAGTAACAGCTTCCATAGTGCGGATTAATATTTCGGACTGTTTGAAATAGTCCAGTTTCCAGCAGACCGCGACTTTAAAATCGCATAAAAAGAGACTATATAAACATAATTACTTATTTGTTTATTAATTAAATAATTTAGTGATCTCAATACAACGATTCTTTTTAATGATTAAATATTTAGATGTATCATGAACACTTTCATATTGCTTAAGAAATATTTCATGATTCATGAAAATATATATATAATTGAATTTATATAAAATATTATGTATTTTTTTAATAAAACAGGTTTAACTCACATATATGTATGATGAACAAACTTGGAGAAACCTAGATGAAATCGCATGCCATAT